AACAAAACAATTTGATTTAAAATGGGCAGAGGAGCTAAATGGGCTTTTTTTTTCTCCCAAAGATGTATAAATGTACAGGTACATTAATTAATTAATTTTAAAATATATTTGTATTGATTTCAGAGAGGAAGAAAAAAGGAGAGAGAGAAAAATCGATGATGGGAGAGAATTGGACCGGCCGCCTCCTGCACGCCCCACACTGGGGATCAAGCCTGCAACCCAGGCACGTGCCCTGATGGGAATCGAACCCGGGACCCTTCCGACCGCAGGCTGACGCTCTGCTCACTGAGCCACACCAGCCAGGCTGTTCCTTAAGGATGGACAGTTCCTCTTCCAGCAAAGCCCTCCCGCTGTGTCTTCCTCCGGATGCAGGCCTCTGTTTAGTAGGAAGCATAGTGCGTCTGAGGGACCTCAGGCCCGAGTTCTCACCCCTCCCCGTCCCGCCTCCCAGCCCCGCCTCCCGGCTCCCCCTCTCCACCTGGGTCGGAGCCGCCGGCCTCCAGAGCTGGCCTTTCCGATGGGCCTTCCACGTCTGCGAGGCCTGTTCCTGCTCCGGCTGCTCCGTGGCTGAGGGCAGCCCTGGACTCGGGGCCTCGTGCGGGCAGCTGTGTGAGTGGGAGGCCGCCTCCCCTTTGGGGTCAGAGACACGGAGACCACCTCCCGGAAGAGGCGCCCGGAGCCTCGAGAGGGACCAGATGGCAGGCCCGGCTCACCTGACCCCCGGTGTCGCCCGGGGAGCTGGGGCCAGGCTAATGTTCCCCGGTGTCACTGCGCTGATGGAGAGGTAACCGGAGCTGGCGAGAGGCGCCCGCGACGGCGGCCTTTTCTTCTTCCTCCTCCGTCTCCCTGAGGCGGCAGGTGCCCCGCCGTGACCCGGAACCCCCCTGCCTTCCTGCACCCGCAGGTGTGACAAACGGCCACAGGCAGGGCCGGGCAGGGGCCTCCGTCCGGAGTTACCCAGCTGTGCGCTTGGGCAAGAACTGATTGTCACCTGCAGCCTTTCTCAAAGTCCTGATTAAAAACATCGCGGCACACGCTCTCCTGTTCTTTGTAAATGGACTGAGAAAGTAAACTGGGTTTCTTGGCAGCCAAGCGATGGTTACGCTGATGGCTCCCACACCAGCCTCCTCACTGCTTCTACCATGTGTGCTCATCCCGGGCTCTCAACACAGAGAGGACCTGCTCCCGGGGTCTGTCCCCACCTGATTTCCCGTCCTCGCATCTGTCCCCAGCGATTTCCGTCTGACCCGGGAGGCCCCTGGCCGGCCCCTGCCGTGGAATCGGGGGCCACAGCCCTGAGGGCAGAGGTCCATGTTTATAACTCAGCCACACTCGGAGGCCCAGTTTCCATTTTATTCTTTTTAATTTTTCATTAAAAGTCGAATAGAGCCCAGCCAGCGTGGCTCAGTGGTTGAGCTTCGACCTATGAACCAGGAGGTCACGGTTTGATTCATGGTCAGGGCAGATGCCGGGGTTGCGGGCTCCATCCCCATTAGGGGACGTACAGGAGGCAGGGGATCAGTGATTCTCCCTCTTTGTTGATGTCTCTCTCTTCTTCTCTGAAATCAATAAAAATATATTTAAAAAAATAAAGTCTAATGGACATCGAACAATTATGAAATAGGTGTACTATGCACAGAGCATAATGGATGCCCACAGAGGGGACGATGAACTTAAGGAAAGGTCCGCACACCATCTCCCGTTCTCCTGTGCTCACCCGCGTCCTCTGTCTCCCTCCGCGAGTCCGCTGCTCTGACTCTTCCTACTTCATGTCTCACTTGACTGAACTCAACGTGTTTTTTCTGTTTTATGTTGTTTTTGGTAATCCTCACCCAAAGATATTCTTCCCATTGATTTTTAGAGAGAGTGGAAGAGAGGGGGAGAGACAGAGAGAGAGAAACATCAATGTGAGAGGGACACATTGGTCGGTTGCCTCCTGCACATGCCCTGGATGTGGATTGAGCCTGAAACCGAGGTACATGCCCTTGACTGGAATCGAACCCGGGACCCTTCAGTTCACGGGCCTATACTCTACCCACTGAGACAAACCAGCCGGGGCTCCACATGTTCCCATGGAGCACAGCAGTTACCATTCCGTTAGAATAGCTTCTAGTTTCCATGATGATGACTTCTCGGGCCTGCAAGTGACCTAGGAAAGTATTTCTTAATTTTTTCTATTGCCTTCTCTTGAAATTTTCTTCATTTTTTTCCCTTCTACTAGTTTTAAAGTTATATGTCTTATTCCAATTTTTTAGGGATTATCGTAACATTTTTGTCACCGTCCAAAGTTAATGTTTCCCCTCCTCCTAACCAACTCAGAGATCTGAGAACACTATACTGCCCGTCCCTCTCCTCCCGACGTGGATTCTGTTGGTGTTAGTGTATATTTTTTCTTTCTTATTTTTCCCACAAGGCACTGCTACAGCTTTATACAATGCGTGCTTAGATTTAGCCAGTGGCATCCTTTTTGTTTCCCCTTGAATACTGGGCCCTGCATCTGTGATCTCTTTCCTCTTCTCTAAAGCACTATTTTAGCGATTTGTTTAGAAAGGACCTGTTGAGGTTTATTTTTAAACTAGAGGCCCAGTGCATGAAATTTGTGCAAGGAGGTGGGGTGTCCCTAAGCGCAGCCTGCACCCTCTCCAATCTGGGACCCCCGTGGGATCAGGCCTAAACCGGCAGTCGGACATCCCTCTCACAATCCGGGACTGCTGGCTCCCAACTGCTCACCTGCCTGCCTGCCTGATTGCCCCAACCACTTCTGCCTGCCAGCCTGATCACCCCCTGACCTGCTTGATTGCCATCGCTCTATCCATTGAGCGACACTGGCCAGGGCTGTCACTGCCTATCTTACTCCAAATGCCTCAAAGAACACACGCGGAGAATCAGCAGTGAGTTCCTTTGGGCTTGTGTCCGAGTAGCAGGCACATCAGTCAGAAGCTTCCTGGGGACTCCCCAGGGGCGGGCAGCGGTGTCCCCGGGACCCACAGGCGGACCGGAGGGGTTTGGAAGCCACGTCATCAGAGGTGCGTTACTCTGCAGGCTCCCTGTGGCTCCACCAACACCCCTGGGGTGGTGGTGTCTCCGGGACCTACCCAGAGGGGCTGCCGCCTGGACCGGGCCCTGCAAGGAATTCGCACAGGCCCCATAGAGCCCCCAAGCTGTCTGCATCTTCCTGGTCTCCCCAGTCTTACAGGTCCTGGATGCTCAGCGAATCACCTCGAGGGGCTCATTTACTGAGAATGGATGTCTTCTCCTAGGTGGCTGAGCCGGTGGACCAGGGACGTGCACCCGCGTGAGGGAGGGGCATGGACAGCCCGGGCGCTGTGGCCGCACACCTGCAGGAGTGCCTGCACCTGCTGCAGCAGCTGGCAGTGGCTCCGGGCGCACCTGCACGGGAACAGCGCGGGGACAAGGACCAGCCACACGGAGGTGAGGTCCCCTGGCCCCCGTCTCTCCCCAGGCAGGCAGATGACCCAGGACCGCGGATTTGGGGCAGGAATGGGGGGGCTGCGAGGGCAGGAGGACGGCCACTCTGTCGTAGTGAATCACTGTCAGTTCTCGTTTTAGGCTTCAGTAAACAGGAGGCCTCAAGACACAGTGAGGTTCCAGGGGAACAAAGGCTCTGAGTGGGCTGGTGCCCGCACGTTTCAATGATGAAAAAACGGAGGCCACTTCTCAATGGTGGCACGTACTTTCTCTCAAACGGGGCCTTTGTGCCTCACCCATTTCCATAGATGTCTCTGCTTTCCATAAACGTGTCACCGCATCAGTCCAATCTCTCTTGTCTTGGTCATCAATACATTTCTTTCTGTTTTTGAAAATCCTTATTGTTGAGAGTATTACAGATGCCCCCCCTTTCCCCCAATGCCTCCCTCCACCCGGTTCATGCCACTTCCCAGGTCTTCACCACCCTATTGTCTGAGTCCATAGGTGATGCATATAAGTCCTTTGGTAAATCTCTCCCCGCCACACCCCCCCTTTCCTTCTGAGATTGGTCAATCTGTTCCATGTTTCCATGCCTCTGGTTCTATTTTATTCCTCCTCCTTTTCTTCCTCAAGAATACCCTTCAACATTTCATGTAATATGATTTGGTGGTGATGAACTCCTTTAGCTTTTTCTTTGTTTGTGAAGCTCTTTATCTGACCTTCAATTCTGAATGAGAGCTTTTCTGGGTAGAGTAATCTTGGTTGTAGGTCCTTGTGATTCATCACTTTGAATATTTCTTGCCACTCCCTTCTGGCCTGCATAGTTTCTGTTGAGAAATCAGCTGACAGTTGTATGGGCACTCCCTTGTAGGTAACTGACTGCTTTTCTCTTGCTGCTTTTAAGAGTCTCTCTTCATCTTTAACCTTTGGCATTTTAATTATGGTGTGTCTTGATGTGCGCCTCTGTGGGTTCCTCTTGTTTGGGGTTCTCTGCGCTTCCTGGACTTGTAAGTCTATTTCTTTCACCAGGTAGGGGAAGTTTTCTGTCATTATTTCTTCAAATAGGTTTTCAATATTTTGCTCTATCTTCCCCTTCTGGCACCCCCATGATTCGAATGTTGGTGTCCTTGAAATTGTCCCAGAGGCTCCTTACACTATCTTCATATTTTTGGATTCTTTTTTCTTTTTGCTCTTCTGATTGGATGTTTTTTGCTTCCTCATATTCCCAATTGTTGATTTGATTCTCAGCGTCCTCTACTCTACTGTTGATTCCCTGTAAACTATTCTTCGTTTCAGTTAGTGTCTGCTCAATTTCTGACTGGGGTCCCTTTTCATGTCTTTGATGTTCTCACTAATTTCTGTGGGATGTGTGCTGGGAGGGGCGTGGCCTGGAGATCTGTGGGTGCTCAGGAGGGCACCTCAGGTCACGGGAGGCAGGGGGGCTGACAGGAAGTGACATGTTTGCCTTGAATGCTGCTGGTGGGCTGAGCTTGACCTCAGCGGGGTTTGGAGAGAGCAAGCAAAACAGGGCCAGCAGGTGTGAAAACCAGTAAAGAACTCGGTGCAGGCCCATGCCCAGCCACCTGGGCTTCAAAAAACTCGCATCAACGAGGCAGAAGATGGGGTGGGTGGGCAAGACTGGGGGCATGAATGCAATGGGAATTACTCCCAGTGAAGAGGGAAGTGGGTTTCAGAATCCACAGGATTTGATACCCATTTAGATTCAGAGAGAAGAGAGAGCATGAAGTCCAGACTGACTCCTGGTGTCCGATCTGGGGACTCGGTGAGTGTGGGGGCAGAGGACAGAAGAGAGACACAGCTGGAGGGAAGGCGACAAGCTCTGTTGGAGGGATGCTGCATCTGCGGTGTCTGCACAGCTCACACCCAGAGAGGCAGAACTGGTGACACATGGGCTCCGGAATCCATAGGTTCCCAGATGTCTGGAGGCACTGAATGGCATGTGGCCTCTGGACGCCCACACACCAGCAGGAAGTGGGTGGCACCAGAGTCAAACAGGAACATTTTTGCAGCAAAATTGTTGACTGAGCTCACTCTGTAGGATAAACACAACTGCCATTAGTGTCTCATCACTTCAAGCTGCTTTGGGCATCAAATGTAAGGAAAAACCTTCAAATTTCCAGAGCTTTCTGAGTTCACTGCGCTTGGACAGAAGATGTGCATGGGTGTACTAGTTAGGTGTGGTGGCCACAAAGAGATTAACTAGCCCTGGCCAGTTTGGCTTAGTGGATAGAGCGTTGGCCTGCAGACTGAAGGGTCCTGGGTTCTATTCCGGTCAAGAGCACATGCCCCCAAGTTGTGGGCTCAATCCCCAGTGTGGGGTGTGCAAGAGGCTGCCGATCCATGATTCTCTCTCATCATTGGTGTTTCGGTCTCTCTCTCTCCCTCTCCCTTCCTCTCTGAAATCAATAAAAATATATATGTATTTAAAAAGAGATTAAATAGATCTGCTCCATGAGGCAAGGGCATTTCACAGAAGACTGATACCACTTCACAGTCCACTTGGGTTTTCCATGTTCTTTTCTGCATTCAAGTCCCATCGCAGTGAAAGTGTGGGTGAGGGAGGGGTGGGAGCAGAGGGGCCAGGTGGTGTCTGCAGCTGCAGCCGTGGCCCCAGGTGCACCCTGGACAGCCCCTTTCTCACGTTACAGGGAGCCTGTGTCTCCTGCATCCTGTCTGACTTCACGCAGAGCTGCTCGCGGAAGTGCTTCGTGTCCCCCTGAACCTTTCCATGCCCCACTGCCCCGTCTGCCCGGAGGGGCAGGGAGCCCCTTGCTGTTATTCCGGGGGGGCCTGGGGCAGTGTCTCTGCCACTGAGGCACTTCATCACAACCCGGGGGGCCCACCGCCTTCCTCTGAGAGCCATTCCCCACCTGAACTCTGACCTTTCCAGCTGCACTCCCCGGCGAGCTGCGGACCCTCCTCCAGGAGGCCAAGGACATGGCGTGGCCCTTCGTGCCCGAGAAGTGGCAGTACAAGCCGGCCGCCAGCCCCGAGGACAAAGCCAACCTGCAGGACCTGGTGGGCGCCGGGCTGCAGCAGCTACTGGTAGGATGCCCCACCTGCTCCCCGACCCACCAGGCATGTCGCCCTATGTGCTGCCATCAATTGAGTTTCTCTCAGGCCTAAGACAGCCTCTCCCCGTGTCCCCCTTGGCCAGCTGACGAACGGGAGGGAACAGCTTTTAGAAAAAGCATCTTGAGGCTGGGCACCCACAAACCAGGCTGAGCGAGGGGAGGTGGGCGCACAGTGGGGCTATGCAGACACCTGTGCCCTGAAACGCTCACCTGTCTGCCGGCCAGAGCTGCAGTTTTGATTGCACCATGCCGTGTTGCATTCTTGTTTTTAAATGCTACTTACTGAAAGTCGGGGCCCTGAAATGCCTGGATGGCATGGCTCAGCGGTTGAGCATTGACCTATGAACCAGGAGGTCATGGTTCAATTCTTGGTCAGGGCACATGCCTGGGTTGTGGGCTCAATCCCCAGTGTGGGGCGTGCAGGAGGCCGCTGGTCAATCATCGTCTCTCATCATTTATGTTTCTATCTCTACCCCTTTCCCTTCCTCTCTGAAATCGATAAAAATCCTATTCAATAAAAGAGTAATATGCAAATTAGTTGTCACTCCATCACAGAGATGGCCACGCCCATAGCCACAAGATGGCAGCACCCAGTCCCCTCAGCCCCGCCACTGAAGTGTCCAGGCCTGTTGGCCAGGCAGGTGGTGAGGGAGAAAGTGGGGGGTCAAGGGTGGGGCAGGTGATCGGAGGGGGCTGGGGGTCCCCTGTCCAGGCCAGAGTCCTCAGCCAGAGGCCAGAGTCCTCCAGCAGGGGCGGAGCCGGCGATCGGAGGGGCCTGGGCAGGGGTGGGGCCGGCAATCGCAGGGGTGGAGCCAGGATTAGAGGGGCAGGGGCGGAGCCTGCGATTGGAGTGAACTACAGAGGAAACACCTTTTCTGACTGCTCATTGGCTAAGCTCTCTGTATGCGACTGGTAATATTCTTAGTAGCTTGGGTAATAAGAATCCAATAAGGTGATCTAGGGTTTTTCCACCTCACTCCTGGAGAAAAAAACAAAGGTCCGCTGCGGGAGGGCTAAGAAATGTCATATTCTATCCTAGCCAGTTTGGCTCAGTGGATAATGCCTTGGCCTGCCGACTGCAGGGTCTGGGCTCAATTATGACCAAGG